GCTCCCTATGGACTAAATACCCCAGATCTTTTGACATTTTTCAGTCCCGTGGACCCAGCCAATGCCCTTTAAGGAGGCAGAATTATTTTCTACCTCTCGTGGCTCGCAAACTGGCCAAAGACCCGAAAAACAATCCAAATTTCAAATGTCCACAGCACCTCCGGAAATATCATATATTGTAGAAGGCATCTAAAAGTGGGATTCCTCCATGGCCGATGCATTTGCTCACCCGATAGCCCTACAGTGAGGATGAACATCTACGGACTCATGTGCAACAGACAGATTGTAGAGAACATATAAAGTCTCAGTTATATTTTTCGCTGGCTCTTGAGACCATCTAACATAGTCTGAACCAGCCTATTGCAGGGTTAAATCAAAAATCAAAAATCAAACATTACAATGGCGGGAGGCCGGTGTTTAGCTGTAAGCACCCTTTGTAAATTAGCAACATGTGTAAATACTTCTCAAAAAGTCCAGGAGAGTATAATAACTGGTCTAAACTAGAAATTATGCATCAGGAGAGCTTGCAAGGCACTATAGATTCAAAGTACAGCCTGTTCGCCGTGCCGATCCCGATTGGGATGTGCGACCAGGTATCAATCACCGTGAGAAATATATGTTGCTCGCGCGACTCTGTACATCTTTCCCCCTCCCGATGTCTACTCAACCACCCGACCACACAGTGACATTGCACCGGCGCCAGCCAAAGTATCCTCCCACCAAGATGAGTTTATTATTTGTGTGCGTACCTTGGCTAATCACTGAAGTGTGAGGAGTGAAAGGCAAAAAATTTGCAAGGCCCGAAAAAAAAAAAGTACATAAGTGCGAGTTTGCCGGGCCGTGCCACGGCCATCACCCCCAAGTCATTTTATTATATTTTCCATACCACTCTGTAGCACGATGCTGGTCATCTTTCTGAAATATTGGTACAACATCTATGTCGAGGCCGCCAAGGACAATAATGCCACATTGGAAGAACGGTGTTCGTTGCGATGTCATCCACTGAAGATTCGGGCACGGATGACCTCTGCTGGCGTCATAAAGCGGGAATGGACTGATTTCCTGGCACAGTAGGATACATTTCAGCCTTGATCCTGTGCTCGACATTCAAGTGGGAGGGAATTCAAGGTCCGCAAGCCGGTTGTGCAACTATGTGCTCCACTCCGTGACATAGAAGCCGGTTGGTCCTCTCATTGCGCCGGGAGAAATATGTGGATCGTGTTATGGACAAGCTGAAGAAGGGCCTTCCAGAGTCCACTCAACAACGATTACAGACATTGGGGGCATCACATCCACTCTAGCTCTACTCCAACAGAACTGCCTTACGTTGACACCCAAGCTCGTACATAATTGCTTTCCCTTGACTCAATCCCTAGGGTCACACACTGAAGAGGTTGTAGATGCTATCATGCTAGGCTCCCGCTAATAGGTATCATCGCGTCGTCGTGCCCTGGATGCGGATCACTGGTATCATGGTCCTGCACGGCTCCTGTCCCAGTGGAGCATGGCCCTGTACTACATATGAAGCAGGTTGCATAACTGTTTCCGAGTTCGTCAGCACCAGTGCATTTTCAAAGAGGTTGGAGGTGTGTTTTTCTTGCCTTTTGAAAAGATGATTGTGTATTCAGAGGAACTCCTCAGCGGTGAATTTCTTTTGAGTCCCGAGGTTGTGCATATTTCTACTCGAGGGGCCTGTGTCCCCATTTTTTGGCAAAAGTGAAGTGGTGTAATTTTTCCTGCCTCTCAGAACCTGTGTTATTTGTGAGGTGGATGAGGTGTGTAAATTTTAATGTAGCAGGGCCACCCTGTGCATAAAATTGCAAATCACTTGAAGTAGTGTAAATTATGCAAGAAAACCCCCAAGTAGTGTAAATAATAATAATGTCCCACTATTACAGCCATACATGCACTAAAGAAGACGCGCGCAGAAACAGCAGAAAACTAAGTTGCTTGAGGAGTGGATTGAACACACGCCACTAGATGCGAAGATTACACTATCAAAACACAGCCACTATTAAGCCACACTGTTTGAAGGGAATTTAGGGCACAGCCACTAATGGGGATTCAACACTGCCACTAATAGTATTAGCACTGCCACTAAATCTGTTACACGCTTAAACGGGGGACATTTTTCAACTAGCGTCCAAAAAGCTCATGTCGATTGATCAAAAACGATTACATAAGTACTCGTAATACCAGCCAAAAGCACTACATCCCATTTTATTTGCAGCTGGTTTGAACCCGGACAATGAAGAATGTGTATTGGGCGTTGCCAAAGTGTACTGTCAATAACCAGGTACGCGGCCACCTCCTGTTGTTGCTTTAATATCAGAATTTTACCAATCAGATCATGTCGCAGGGTGTTCTAAATGAAGGCTTGCATCCTAAAAATCAGCCGAACAAATTTGGCAGAATTTACAAGAAGTTTGGATGCTTGCCGGAATATTTTCCTGTCAAAACCAGGTAGTAGGCCACCAGGCTGTGTAAACATTTCATTCCAGGTCGTATTCGAGGGGGTGTTGTATCTGGGCAGGAGGATAAGATGCAAGGGGACAACTCCATACAGATATATCAGAATTCCGAGCTATGGGGGCAAAATCAATATTGGTTTCTGGACTCCACTTATACAGGCAGGATCGGGATCCCGGATCATGAAAAAGCAGTGGGGTACATGGCTGTAACGGATATGTCGACGTTCGGCATCTCGGCTGCATCTGAGATACCCCGTGATCTATTGTTCAGTTTACTTTATTTGTCATCATCCATAAGTACAATGTAGCATAGCTTCTTGGAACAAAGTCGCCGCCGCGGGCCTTGGTACCCTTATTTGTCATCATTCATAAGTACAAGGTAGCATAGCTTTTTTAGTTACATTTACAAGGACACCAGAATAGTATTTAGGTAGACAGTCAGTAGGCAGTTCCTTAGTTTTTCTGGAATCCAACACCTCACCCACTCAGCTTCTGTGTGATCTATTTGGTTTCTGGACAACTCACGCGGGGACCCTACCCTTTGAATTATCGGGACCTCACAATGGCAGACAGAGGACATGGAAGGCCAAGGTAAGGTAGGGTTACCCTCATGTTAAGGCCACACACATATCTGGGCCCACATGACACCAGTTTGATACCCAGAGCTCCAAAAAAATATTGATTTGCAGACAACAAAAATCAGCTGGTTTGGAGCATTGAATGACAGTAAGAGAGGAATAAAAGAAAGATAATATTTACATACTGCTGGAACATTAGCATAGACGATCCCCTCATCCATGGCAATTTTCAGACCCGCAGGGTGTGCAGGTCGTCGTTTCGTGTGCGAGCGCAGATTGTAACTCTCGTCGGGAGCCCTGGAGAGCCGGATCATCAATTTTCAAGGATAACTCGGGTAGTTGCCTTGAATGAGACGATCAGAACCACCCCCAAAGATCGTGGATGGACAAAGAAAGAACTTGGACCAGTTACTTGGTGGAGAAATGGGCGGGACGGCCATTCGGGGTTAACAAAATGATGTTCTCATCCTTCGGCCCGGAATCAAACGCGCCACAGCCATCGATCAACCCATCAGTCTGCCTCTAATTTTGGCATGGACCAGCGTCGGAGGTCGTACTTCCTTCCTCAAGCCCAAGTTCTGAAGGTATTCAACAACAGAAACATATTAAACTAACAGTGATACAGTAGTATCTGCCTCGGTGCAATGCCTTGGAGTAGATGCGTACTCAGTTAAAGGCCAATGAATGTGATGGGAAATTTAATTTCAAGGCGTACGTACCATTCTTTGCTATAGTTATTAAATAGCGCGAATTCATTCATTTTAACATGATATCTGCTCTATCTGCCTTCTTATACTGGTAGCCACATTGAGGGATAATTCTTAGGCGAGAATTATGACACCCGGCATATGCCGTGATTGTGCACGTCGGCGATCAATAAATTCCGAGAGCAAGACTCAACTTCTATTGTCACACCCGACGGTGCAGCTCGCACAGAGATTGGCTGGATTTAAATAGCGTGAATTCAGTTATTTGAATGTGATGTGGAGGACAAAGAAGAATATATATATATATATAATTGAGAGATTTTGACTGCTTTTATCCCTGATGAACCCATCGACTAAATGGGTCGGTTCTATATTTCAAGTCACACTAAAAAACATCTGAGCAAAATTGTTGGAGACTACATCGAGATCTGCGACTACCAAAAAAAAACATGAACCAGCCAAGCATAAACATTGTGAGAAAGATGCACGTGTCCACGACAGATTTTGGCCGGTATTGACCTGAATGCGTAGTACATGGCCGGACAATGGCCAGTTATGGGTAGGCATGTAGATGTAATATAAAAGTAAAATAAAATGGCAGGCTGTCCTGATTTAAGTTGACATTGAGAATCCGGAAGGGTGGAGGGCCGCGGGGAAATCTGCCGAGACCAAACAGATGAACACAGCCGCATAGACTCAATGCAAACCAGAAGGTACAGGTCGATTTGAACACTGAAAATTGTATGGGAGTGAAAAAAAAGCATTTCTAAAATGATGTGCTCAAAAAGAACTGCTCGAATGCGCGAGAGGCAAAGAAGAAAAATTGAGTAATTTAAAAAAACTGTATGTATGTACGACTGCGACCGTGTACCTCTGCGCCTGAAATTGCGTTGAGTTTTGTTTCTGTGCTTACTTTCTGGCGCCTGGGCAGTTGCGAGCGAGGCAATTAATTGCAGGGGCACTGGCGGACGAATGTACTTGTTGGACTCGGAGGTGTTGGAGGTAGCATGCGTCCGCGGAGTTCGATGGTCTTTATGACGCAACTCGCAACTCGAGATTCAGACGGGGGGACTGATACTAGTGCTTGATACTTTTAGTATTGGATGGTAATATTGGGAATGTCTCTCGCTACTCGCTAGTTGAGCCATCTGATGCTCGTGAGGTGTCGTTGGCAATTGGAATTTGGGAGCGTTGGGTGCGGGGGTATCGGGAATTCAGGATGTCAAATAGGAAAAAAACCCAGATGGCCTGACCCGGAATCGAACCGGGATCATCTGCATTATTTCTTCAGTGGGGGGAGGGAGGGGGGGGGGGGTATATTATACTCGCGTGGTCCACAATGCGTGCAATGCATAATTAAAGCAGGAACACTAACCGTTTGTCCTATCAAGCCATACTTTAGGTTGTTGCTTCATGAACTACGGGAGGTTGCATACAGTTCAACACAGGGGAAAGAAGGAGGGAGGCATAGTTCTCTTGTTTCCGACTCCTATCTCTGCGCTCCGCTTCAGTGCACTCATCAGGAGTATGTACGTCTACATGTAACCCGCAGAACAAATGTGTTGTTGTTGTTGTTGGGTTCGTGCTACTGTGTAAATTGGACTAAGCGATGATGGTGAACCGTCTGACTACGTAGATGGTGAATCGTTCTGCACGTGGGCTACCTCGAAGGCCACACTGTCATCGCCATCGGGACGTGAAGTGTGAGGGAATCCAATTGGCAAAGCGGTGAAAAAAACCTTCATTGGTGCACCCCAATAATTATAACACAGTATTACAGCCATAACTTGTGTTGAATTTTGAATCGCTCTGCATGCAGGGGTTACGGGAGCTGTTGCGAAACTCTGCCATCATTGGGACACGAAGTTGAAGAGGGTCCGATATCGTGGCGATGAACAGAAGCATGCACAATAAATAAACTCCGAACGTCCCGTTCAGGATTATCTGGCTCTGATGTCCGTACTTCCATGCGGCTTCATCCATCGTTGGAGTAAAGATGCAGATCTTCAAGCGATCTCTATACTCGCAACGAGCTGAATAATTAAAAACGGCCTCGCAATTTTGTGGTGAATGATGAGGGGACAATGGGTTCATCCAATTATCGATCTTGTATTAGGGTTTAAATGAAACATCGATGCCTTCGCTACGGCTATAGAGCCGATAGAGTTGTCGAGAATCGGATGGAAGATACTGGTAGCGCATATTGGCGTGTGCGGGATCGAATGTGTTCATATCACGGTAGGGTTTATTTTGCATCATTTCAATACTCTTGGTCTGTAGTACTGTTGGAGACTGGGTAGTTGACCACCTAAGCGTTTTCGGTGTAACACTGTAGCTACCGGTCGCCGCACTGGGTTCATGGGCCTTCATAATGAAGGCCTGCATCCTATGATAGCTAAATAATTTGGTGAATTTACATGCCGTTTTGAAGCCGGAGTGAATTTCCTCCGGCGAACTTTCCCAAAAAGGCAGAAAAGGGGTAGTACCACCCACCAAAATATGCTTCTGAGGGCCGAAATATGGCACCCTGCATCTGGAATTCATTTTAGGTTCCATGCCCACGTTCCACGTCGGCGAGAGAGGTCCTGGGCCTGTTCGTACTGTATGGATTTCATTCTACATGGGTGGATATTTGGTCAAATTGATGTGTTCGAGAAATTGACTCCCGTGCGAAGCACAGAGAGCTCTGAGGGCCAAAGTATATTGCCGATGGGTTCATACGAATATATCAATGTCTCAGAGCACATATATTCCCTCTTGATGCCCACGCTTCTGAAAAAATCCAGAACTCACGACCATAAAATTTGGGTGATTTGATGTTGTGCATTACTGGGAGAAAGAAATAGAGCGTACATGGTGTTAAAACATCTCAAATTGGGCGCTGACCACTAAGATGGTCCACTTCCGGTCTCAGCCTGCAGCATCAACGGTGCGCTTGTGGTAGAGTGGTCATCTTGTGCCGCCTGATGTCAGATTCAAACTTCATGAGGGTCTGGAGGAATAAATGGGACTATGACCTCCCTGAAATAGTGTGCTTTATGCCGAGAATCAGGGCTCCAGAATGAGCCCCCAAAGTCGTGGATTGACCTAGAGTTGGTTGAGAAACAAGTGTGGTCAGCTATTGATTGATGTTCGGAGTTAAGGAATTGATGTCTTCGGGGCTTCGGCCGACAGGTAAACAGGCAACAACTTTTGATCCGACTATCACTTTGCCTCCAAATTTGGCATGACAATAGTCAAACATCCCATTCCCTCCCACAAGCTTGGCTTTGTGTAATCTGTGGTCCATAGTCTTATATTTGGCAAGTGGTCAACTACCCCGGGTGGTCAACTACCCAGTCCTGGACAGTATGGCGGAAACGCTATCCAGCTGAGTGAGAAAAAAAATTCAGCTCGGCAGGGTCTGACCGACATACTTAGAGCCGGATTTCAGCTGCTCAAGTGCAACTTCGTAAACATGCCTGTGCAGGGGTATGAGCAGAGGCCTTTTCAAGACGGAGTTTTGGCATTCAGGATCATGGGTCAGATATTATCCTACGACCAAGCTGACAGTGCCGTCACTTTCTTGTTCTGTGATATCGACGTGGGCAAGGCAACCTGTGAAATCGAAAGGATTCTGCCTGGTCCATGGTTGGCAGTCAGTGGAGGAGCAGAGGGCGGGAAATTTCTTGTGATCGGGCTTCTTCTTGTCAGTCTCTTGGTGTGCCGCAGTGCTGTACCCAGAAGAGCTAGAGGCCCCTAAGTCAGCATAGAGTACGAGATGATATATGGGTTGGAGGATACCATTGTAATAGACTCCGCCGCCGTTTATCGTTCCCACCGACCACCCAAAAAGCTGACCACTGGATGTTCCAGCGATTCTCTAATCTCTGTCAGTTTGGGATATCCAAACTGTGCTTGAATGAAGGGCTCCTTATCTCATTCTGAGAAGATCTGTTGTCAGGGTCGACCCGAGCTGAAAAATCCTGCCCTGATTCATACAGAGCATTGATAGAGCTGCGCTGAGTATCGCTCGGACAGATATTCCAAAGGTACTTGAGCATGGCCCATTTGATTCCCAGCAAAAAGAGACGGAGGGCAGCAGCGATTTTTTTTGACAAGTAAATTTGCAGAGACAAAAATGTACAGGCTCGCTCGCGAAACCATCACCCCGAGGAGCTTTGAAAAATTCCACCAATCCCTCGCAGACACCTGGCAGGCCAGACAACGAGGCATGGAAAATGATTATATGAACAGCCTTGAGGCGTATGACGTCGCCGAAGCATGCCATGGATGGGATCGAGGAGAGAGAACATGCCATGAGGCTACGACATACCGTTCTGGGTATGCCAGGAACGCGGAGCTTCGGGCCTAGCCCCACAGAGGCTTTTAGTAGTGGTGTAGTCTAGTGCTGGCCAAATATGAATACGATACGATGTTTGCTGTATCGTATCCATATCCATATTGTATCCAGCCTTGTGAGCCGTATCATATTTTTACGATATCGTATTCGTATTTGGGGGTGGATATGGATATATTTTGGATATATTTGGATATATCTAGATATTTTCTGGATGGCATCATTGACAGAAAGGAGGTGACAATGCGCCCAAGTATGTTCCAAATGTCTAAAACAGACTGTGTTTGCTTGGTGTTTGCCGGATTTCAACATATAAGATAAATTTTGATCCTATATGGTTCGAGATTGCCGTTTCGGGTTCCCCCGGCTGGGTTCGCCCGAAAGGCAATTTCATGCTCCGATCTATGCCGGCGGCGGTTTCCGGACAGTAAAAGCCGTATCAGATATATCTGAATACAATCCGGCTTGTATCATATCATATCTGTATCTTATCGTATCATATCCTATCGTATTCATATTTTTTGGATATATCCAAAATATATCTGACTGTATCATATTTTTGGCCAGCACTAGTTTAGTCTAGTGCAAAGCGCGGGAGAATTAGGAGTTGCACCGGGCTGATGCGAGAAGCGCAAAGCGCAAAGTCTTTGTCAGCACACACGACCACATTGCACAAGCATGCACACACTGTTCGCTTCTAACCACCGTGGCCCCCCATGCATTACCGCTGATCCAGACATCTCTGATATTGGAGTTCGCACCGCAATCTATGCACAAAATATTTTATGTTTCATGCCGGTCTGGGTGTATCTTTGGGATGGAACAGTCTCCCTGATGAGATGAAAGGCATCAAGGACCAGTCCATCGGCATACTTGCCATCGCTTTCGCCATCCTCATCTCCACCATCATCCAGACCACCACTGCTGTTGAAGCGTTGCAGATAACTCGTCGTCATCCTCGATTTGAGCTGGATGAACAATACCAGCACTTGGATCTGGTTTCTGCTATATGCCCACCATCTCAGCACGGAAGACAAACGAAAACATCACCGTGAGGACTGGGACCCACGCTGCTCTCGCTGTCATCATGAACCAGGTAGGAAGCCCATTCTTGCGACCTGGTCAGACTGAGTCCCGGTCGTGTGCTCTAAATCCTGCCTCCATCATGCTAGGGACCGGAGGTTCGCCTCGTGTTTTATCCCCAATTAACTGACTGACGGGTCCGCAGCCTGTCCTCCGCCTCGTCCATCACGCTTGGGACCAGGCACCCGTGCTCATCCTTGGTTCCTCTTGCTGATGGCCGCCGTTGGAGTCGTTTGGGCTGAATCGATCCAAATTCGGCACCCCCCCCGCCCCCTCCCTTCTATGATCCAACACTTACTATTGTTGGAGGCCCCGCACCTTTCTCATCACCCGCACTGCGGATCTGTTCATTGGCGATGTATTTTCTTCTCCTCATCCCTGGCATCAATCTTCTCCCCCCAATCCTCTCTTTTCTCGCACTTCGTCTCGCATATAAATGGCCACAGGAACATCGCAGTTCGTTCTGGGAACGATTGGATGGCTGTATCCGAAGTATCCGCAGGAGTTTGTGTAGGAAAGAGCACCCGGAGCCGGTGGATGGAGAGTCAAAGTGAGCGCCCTTCTGTTCCGCGGTTAACCTCGTTCACTCACTCTCCTCTGAAGAAGCTCACACCACCTTTCTGGTCGTCGGATTGGCGCTCCTTATCCTCATCAACATCATTTTCCTGATTGATATCGAACTCACTCTCTCCCGCAATAAGCACTTGCAATCTGGTGAAGACGATCTGTGGGGTTTTGGGCAGGTCCTTGCTTTTCTTCTTCTTGTTATGCCTCTACGGGATGCTTGGAATGCATACCGAGACATCCTCACAACATCGCGCGGGTCCAGAAGCAATTCTACCAGCACTCCGGGAAGAGGTTGAAGCAACACCATTTGTTGAGAGACTTCGAGACCTGATCAGCGAAGGCGCTGAATCTAAGGAGTGTATTAAAGACCCTCGGTTTGCAAACTTGTTCCAGCTAGCAGCATA